TTAAAAAGACCCGTGACACATGACACAAGACTACACACAAGACTACATGACACAAGACACATGACACTAGACACATTACAAAAGCCTACATAGAAGACTACATGACACAAGACACGACAGTAGACTACACGACACAACTGAAACTCATGCAGAGACCAAACAACCTCCACCTGTGACTCCTCTGCTCCAACAAAAGAACCTCCAGCAGAGAACAACAAGTTAAACACCCGTGACCACATAACTCCTGCAGAGAAGAAAATTAAACATTATTAGAATAAAACAACAGAAACAACATATTCAAATTTAACAAGATAACAGAGAAGAAATTTAAACTTAACTAAAAGTCAGAGAAACTCGGTTGCAAGTTTTTTCTTCAACTCTCTATCAAACTCATTTTGCTGATTATTGAGTAGATCAACGAACTTGGAATTGTCCCCAAAAGGATTAAAATCCATTGCCCAAATTCAAAGAAAAGAGAAGTAAAGAGATATAACTTCTGAAGTTGGAAGAAAAAGGAGAGGAGTTTGAGTTTTATTAATTCACATAGAGTTTAACACTGATATTTGTAGATGCAGTGATAAAAGAGCATTCAACACAACCTACCAACTCGACTATTATGCATTTAAAACAAATATTCACCTATGTACTTAACAATAACTCAAACCGTAAACAAGAAACAATAACGACTTGACATTTACCTATTACATTAATTACTTGGTGTATCTCTACCACAAAAACTCAAACNTGTACTTAACAATAACTCAAACCGTAAACAAGAAACAATAACGACTTGACATTTACCTATTACATTAATTACTTGGTGTATCTCTACCACAAAAACTCAAACCAGAAGTTGAATTTATTACCCAACCCACAACCACAATGTACCAGTAAGTATACCATTAATCACCCTCTATTCAACTAACACAACCACAATCTACCACAACATTAATATTGATCAAATCAATCAAGATCGAAGAGAGAAACAAACCTGTACTCTGGTTGTACTCCTTTGTCCCATGAGCAATCTTCGGTTAGCTTCAGAAGATGTCACTACATGTGTTCTTTGTTTGAAAAAAACTTATATCTCTACATTCACCAAAAATTAAATCAATGTCAAGCTCATGACAAACATCTAAAACAATTCAAAATCTAACTTGGCAGCTAAACAAGTGTTCTCATTCACTAATACACCAAAATAAAACCTAAATTTCAACAAAGAATCGTTTTTTTTCAGCCAGAAACCACAAAAGTCCAAAACTTTAAGGACTAAACAAGTAGCCTTTGCACAATCTACACTCATTAATTCTCATTCAGAAGAGATACACGCACCTCAGGCTCAGTGAAGTCAACAAACTGAGGTGGAATCCTGATAGAGAAACCATCGCCAAAGTACTGGAACCAAGAGAGATGCTGTCCTAAGCACCAAGAGTGCTCCGTTGCCGAGACCATAGACACCCACAGACAGAATCAACATAACAACCAAAAGAAACTTCCGATCAGACCAAGTTGAATCATTATCTCAGACATGCAAAACAACAAAACAGTATCTTTACCTTTTGATTTAAATAATCAGTGACCCCAACGAGAGGAATGGAGAGAGATTCGCCGAGGAGAGATAGAACACAGGCGTGAGCCACCGTGGGAGACGACGCAGAGGAGAGACACGCCACTGATGGAGAGAGATTCGTCGAGGAGAGATAAAACACAGGCGTGAGCCACCGTGGGAGACGACGCAGAGGAGAGACACGCCACCGATGGGATGAATCGAGACAGGAATCGAGACAAAGAAGGCCAAAGGATTCCTCGAGGAGAGGATTCGAGGGAGAGGGAGAGACAAGATTTCGTGAGAAAGAATTCGAGAGAGAGAGAAGCCGAGATCGACGAAACACAACCTCTCCTTCCCCTAGTCTCCTTTTGACACCTGTTAAGAAGCAACTCCCCTTGTGACGCTTCATTAAGCAACGTGGCTTCCTCTTTTTTCTATTTTTCATTTTATTTTTATTGCTAATTAGGCTAAGCAACATGGGTTAGCAACCCCGATAATGATGCTCTTAATTTTAAAGTCTTCAAAGCCAAATTTCCGTCAGGTTAAATGGTTAATGCATAGTAGAAAGAAAAGACCAAAAAAATGTCTCACCCAAACTGTCGTCACAAAAAAGGGGAAAAAAATTACTAGACTGAACTCAAAAATTGAAAATTGGGCGAGCGAAAGGGTTTAAGAGAGATGCAGAGAATCTCCATTTCCCTCTCCGAAATCAGAAGATTCTCCGTCACCTCTCTATCGACATCTTCCGCTTCGAACCACGTTACACTCGCTGGTATGAAAACTTCTTTTTTAAATTCGGATTTCCACTCTGATGTTTCTTAGGGTTTTACTTTCCTGGCCTTTGTCTTAAAGCCAACCTAAAGTTTGAATTTGATTGTTGTTCAAAGTCTTAATCTTTTGTTGTTGTAGATCATCATCGGTTGTTGAAACAAGTTGTTGAATCATGCAAATCTCCATCACATTCCAAATGTGTTCTTCAAGCACATGCTCACATCTTTAAGCTCGGTTACAGAACACATCCATCTCTTGTTGCCTCCATGGTTACAGCTTACAGACGCTGCAACCTCTCTCACATTGCTCGCCCGCTTCTCACTTGGTTCCTCTCATTGTCTCCTGGCGTCTCTAACACAAACCTAATCATTGAGAGTCTTATGATAAAGGGTGAGTACGGTTTGGCTAAGAAGGTTCTTCGTAAAGCGAGTGATCGTAATGTCATCACTTGGAACTTGATGATTGGTGGTTATGTCAGGAATGTACAGTACGAAGAAGCATTGAAAACTCTCAAGGACATGATTAATTTTTCGGATATTAAACCTAATAAGTTTAGTTTCGCTTCCGCTTTAGCAGCTTGTTCTCGTCTTGGAGACTTACATCATGCCAAGTGGGTGCATTCGTTGATGACAGATGGTGGGGTTGAGCTTAATCCGATACTGTGTACTGCACTTGTTGACGTGTATGCAAAGTGCGGAGATATTGAAGCTTCGAGAGATGTTTTCTATGGAGTTGAAAGGAACGATGTGTCTGTTTGGAACGCGATGATCACAGGTTTTGCCACTCATGGACTAGCCACTGAAGCGTTAAGAGTGTTTTCAGAGATGGAAGCAGAACATGTTTCACCGGATTCAATAACGTTTCTTGGGCTGTTAACAGCGTGTAGTCATTGCGGTTTACTTGAAGAAGGGAAAGAGTACTTTGATCTTATGAGTCACAGGTATTCCATACAGCCAAAGTTGGAGCACTACGGAGCCATGGTTGACCTGCTAGGACGAGCAGGAAAGGTAAAAGAAGCGTATGAGTTGATAGAGTCAATGCCTGTCGAGCCAGATTTGGTGATATGGAGGTCTCTTCTTAGCTCCTCTAGAACTTACAAGAATCCCGAGCTAGCTGAAACCGCGATACAGAATCTTTCAAAGGCAAAGAGTGGAGACTATGTGTTGCTCTCGAACATATATAACTCCACGAAGAAATGGGAGAGTGCACAAAAGGTGAGAGAGCTGATGAAGAGAGAAGGAATCCGCAAAGCCAAAGGAAAGAGTTGGGTGGTGTTTGGAGGGATGATACATCGGTTTAAGGCAGGAGATACATCTCATACAGAGACAAAGGCTATATACAAACTGTTAGAAGAGCTGATACAGAAAACAAAGTCTCAAGGCTTTGTACCTGACACTGATTTGGTGTTGATGGATGTCTCTGAAGAGGAGAAAGAGGAGAACTTGAACTACCATAGCGAAAAGCTTGCGTTGGCGTATGGGATCTTGAAGAGTAGTCCAGGATCAGAAGTTAGGATTCAGAAAAATATAAGGATGTGTAGTGATTGCCACAACTGGATCAAATCAGTGTCCAAGTTGTTGAATAGAGTGATTATAATCAGGGATAGGATACGGTTTCATAGGTTTGAAGATGGGTTGTGTTCTTGCAAAGATTATTGGTAAGGGATTTTAAGAGTCAATGAACCTGATGTTACATGAGTTTCTGTCTGGTTCAGTGAAGTTTGAGTCTTGAACAATGAAGATTATCATCTGTTTCTACAATCGGAACACTTTCTTTTTGAAAAGCTTCGTTTTGGTTACTGTTATTGAAAGTTTGAGAGGTGGTTGAAATTTATGAGGGTTTTGACTTTGTGGCTTTATATGGACTAAATTAGAATAACTAGTTCTGAAAATTTGTGAATTACCATTTTGTCATGTGACAGCCATGGGATCGGTTGATATAAATAGTAGAAGTACAAAGTAAAAATCGGCAAAAAATCCGACCTGCCGGAATCGAACCAGCGACCTAAAGATCATCTGTTGTGAACAACTACAGTCTTCCGCTCTACCAACTGAGCTAAGGTCGGCTTGTTGTTGAAGTCTCTTTTTTTTTAATTTATCCTCGGATTCAATGCAACTTGCTCTTTTGACTACTTTCCTTTTGCAAATACAACTAATTTTGACAAATTATTGGGGGTTAAGATTAGATAGTCTAAAATTTTGTTTTCTCTCTTGGCCTCTCATTTTCGAATTCATAATAATTTTATGGTTCGTATATTTCTATATCCCAAAAAACAAATTTAAGCTTTTTAATATAATATAAAATGACATCAAATTCACTTGAATCCATGTTGGATAGAAATATAGTTAATTTTTTGTTTTCTCTTTTGGCCTCTCGTTTTGGAATTCATAATGATTCTTATTTCTATTTCTAAGGGCGCCAAGTTTTTGTTTCTTGGAACAGAATTAGCCTTGAGTGTGTGTTTTCGATATGAACCAATTTATTTTTCTTTCTCTTTTTTTGCATTTATTTAATACAAACCAACAGAAACCGACTGGTTTTATGGCGGTTAAAGTTAACACCGGTACTTTTTACGGTTTAACGAAACTGTATTCGTATGTGGTCAAAAGAGGGACACGACAAATGTAGGCCCGTTACCACTTTTGTTGTACTTTTGCCTTGTATATTCATTCGCTGCGACACGATTGAGAAGAGCATCAACAAAAATGGCCAGCCGAAAAGCTCTGATTAACGTCCACCGGATCATCCGCTCCACTGCGGTGGTTAGAGGGATCTCCGTCACCCCTTCACCTGCACATCCTCTTTTCCAGTAATCTAATTTCTCTTCCACCTTTTACGACAAAGAGATGATTTATCATTGATTTCTGGGCTTATTTATTTATTTGATATTTTAGAAATGGAGGGGCAAGATTCTTCTGCGGTAACACCTCGAGTCCACAAAAATTTGATATTGATCTCTCCAACGAAGAGAAGAAAAGGATAACCATCAACAGGTATGGTTAATTTAATTTTTTTCAATTTGGAACAAAAAATATTAGTGTTTGGTGAGTGACTTTTATTTTTGTGTGTTTTTGTGTGAATAGATTGTTGTATAGGAGCAAGCAACGTGGTTTTCTGGAACTTGATCTGGTTTTGGGTAACTGGGTTGAGGAGAATGTTAACTCCATGGATGAAAACACTGTTAAATCCCTTATTCATGTCCTCGATTTGGTACGATTCTTTGTCTCTATTATCACTAAGTTTTCACAGCTCAGAGCTTTTTAAATTCCTTCTTCTATATTGTATATGGATCTGCACAATGTTGTAAGATACATAGATGAATTGTATAGCAGTTTCTGTAGTTATGTATCTTCTTCTTACAAGATCTTGGGGTTAGATTCTGTATCGTACGGGTTAACTGTTTAGTTATATTATGTATTGTGGTAATTTTTTCTACCAAGAGGACTAACAGAAACAATTTAGCCATGACACTGTTTGAGTGATTATAATCTCGAAATGATGTTGTAATTCGGATGTGATTGTTATATGATTTCCCTTCGACTAATATCAGTTTAGAGAACATACACAATAAGATTGGATTTTTGTTAAGAGCGGATGGTGAAAACATGAAAGTGAACTCAAAGGGAATCGTGAATCTTTAACATCAAAGCAATCAATCTTTTTTGAGATTAGTTTTTTGTTTGATAATAACGTTGTTGGCTCTCTGCAGGAAAACCCTGATCTCTGGAAATGGTTAACTGCTCAAGAACAGCCTCCCGAGATAGTGAGCTCAAATCCGGTAAGCGTTAATTAATCTCATGCCCTATCCTTTTTTTTTAAAAAAGCGTAACCTGATGCATAATCACTCTCTTTGTTGTGATGGATGATTAAGGTATTTTTGGCGTTGCACAAGAAAGTCATGACGAATCTGAACAAACATGCAGCCCCAGAGACGCGTGCAGCAGCTGGACAACCCTGGGTCAAAGGCTGGGATGATTTCAAGAGAGGCCGTGACGCTCCCATCTCAGGAAACCAGTGAAATAAAAAAACACTTTCCTTACAAAAATAACAAACTGCAAAAAAACACGTTTTATAGTTGATCTTATAAATACAATAAAGTGCCAGGCCGTGAAGAAGGCTGGAGGTCTAAATGTGTGTCTGTAGTGACACGATGAGATATAATTACAGTGATGTGTGTCTTGTTTTTGGAAGTTCTTTGATATGTTAGTTACAGACTTACAGTTATCAAGGAATATTGGGTTTTTTGAAATTGTGGTGTTTTCTCTTCAGCTTATAGTAACAGCTTTACTTGTGAAACAAAAAACGGTTTTACTTTGAGAGTTTTGGACAGTGAAAAGTAGGGATCTTTAGTGGCACAAATTGACTAGGTCTTGTTGATGTTAAAGCCTTGCCTGTTTTGTTAGAGATGGGCAATGCACATCCACAACGCAGGCCAGTCCCAAACCGGATCGCCCCATTAGCAACAGTTCCCCACTTCATTAATTGATCGTGTACATTGAGAAGAAAAGTTTTACCAATAGGACCCCGTGATCAATAATTAGATGAGCATCTAGATTTCCGAACGATCACCTAAATTGAGCTCTTCGAAGTAATTTAATTCTTTTTTGTAAGTCACACGCTTTTCCACCATTAGGAAACTCAGTTTAGGTAGTTCGTCTATTAGATGATTTTTGCCCTTCTTGTTGTTAATACGAATTTTACTGAACCTACAAAGTTTTTCAGACTGAGAATAAGAATAATCAAAACACACAAATAACAATTAGCACACATTATGGTGTAGAGATTCACCGTTGAACGTGGAAAACTCACAAATCTTTGATCATGATAACACCGTTGAACGTGGACATCCATTAAAAGTTTATTTAGTTAAATTAAAGACACTAAGTTGGAACTCTAATTTATGTAAGAGTAACTTGGTATGTGTTTAAAGAAATGCAAAGTAATAGAATCTAGGATGCAAGCTCGCTAGACAAACTGAGCTCACTAGACAAATGTCAAAAGAGAAAATGAGCATGGTGTATAGGCTTGATATACCATGGATTTTACTCACTTTCAACCATGGTATATAAGTATTTTAAGATATATTTATTACGATATATAATTTTTATAGAGTATTTACAGGTTCAGATACATTATAGAGAAATATGGTGATTGGTGTTTTTTGAGTGCAGAACTGCACAGACGCGTCAGATATTTAGCTATGGATGGAGACATTCCCAATGTTAGATTTAACCCATTTTTTGACACAAGATAGAGCTTTGAGTTAGATTTCAAATCCCACCGGTCTGAGGTCAATGATTGTTCTGTAGCAGAAATTATGCTTTTTTTACTGAAGAGTGGTCAGTCTGCCTTGCGAGAGGAAACTGTTGAGAAGATAAATAAAAATCGAACGATGCAGCACTCATGATCGATCGATATTGATCCCAGAACGTGAGCCGAGCATATTTTATGACTGACTTAAGCCTAGAAGAAACCTAAATTACCAAGATACCCCTGGACGACTAGAAATCCTATTTATGTGTTTTCTAAGCCATTGTTGACGGGTAAGCTTTCTTTTCTTCATTGTTCTTAGTTCTAGAAAACAAGGAAGAAACTATATCAAGAGTCCTCCTGGAACTCCTTTGGTTTTCATATTTTTATATATATTCTATTTATCAATTAATCTATGATTTATGTGACAAACTTCATGTATGAATATCCACATGTTAGGTTTAGGGTTCAAATAGATTGGAGGGATTAACCCCAGCTATATGATTTCTTATTGTGATATTTATTAATATGATGTTCTTAATACCTATGTTCTAGATTTGCTAACTAGAAACCTGATCTAAGGAGTTTAGATTTTTTGAGCAATCTTTAGACAATCCTAAGTATCATGTATCTATTATATTAAGCTAGAATTTGCTAGAGTATAACGATAGCTTGATTTAGGGGTCTTTAGTGAGCATATAGTAACTCGCACCTAAAGCTTAACTAGCCGCGTCGATCGATACTCCCATTGGAAATCGATCGATGTTCTGAGAGGTGAATCGATCATTATTCATATAGAATATCGATCGACACTGCTATTGATCGAACACTCTTGTTTGGGTCAATAGATTTATTCAGTAGAGCGAATGCCTAATGAATTTGTTATATAGTGGTTAAGCTCTTCAATATCATGCATAGAATTGTTTAGCACCTATAGGATTATAATCTCCAATACTTGAATAGAAACCCTAGGTCTAGCAACCATCCTTCCATCAAACTACTCTCGGTTACATAATAACAACTACCTTGTTTACTGCTTTATTATTTATTTGACTAGCTTAATTGTATAACTACTAGATCTGATTGGTTCCCTAGCTCCCTGTGCATTCGATCCCTAAGTAATACACTTGAACCTCTTATTTGAGAGAGTAAAGTCATTCCTTAGGGTAATTTGAGTGATATCAAATTTGGCGCCGTTTCCGGGGAGCTTTGATCGCCACTAGATCTTATCTAGTTAGATTTAGTCAAGGTTTTACTATTGTTCGAAAAACTCATAAAAAAGTTTCTTTTGTTTCAGGTACATACATCTCAATGCCAAGAAACAATGAAGAGAATATTTCTATGTCCTTCAAAGAAGGAGTCTGCTGGTTTACGCACGATCCGTAACTCTACGAGGGAAGAATCGATCGACACCCTCCAAGCAACATCGATCGACAGCGTACACCATCAATCGATCGACACCATTCATCCAACGTCGATCGACACCATTCTCATATCTTATTGCGTATGTGCTCACAGGTAGAAGATACTACACTTGTGAGAATGTACATGATGGGGAGTGTCACGTATGGAAATGGTGGGACGAGGCAGTGATGGAGGAGATGAGAGCCAGAGATAGAGACGTTCTTCTGCTCTCTGAAAAGGTCGACAGTCTTGCCTTTTTGTCTGACTATGAGACTGAGCAGAAGCTGGCCATTCTAGAGAAGATGGTGTGTGATTTAGCTAAGGAGAAATATAAGTTTAGCTATGGGTTTGAGTTCTTTCTCGGGGTAATGGTTCTTGTGTTAGTTTTACTAGGACTGGTGCTTCTGTTATGGGTTTGAGTTTTTTGAGTGTTGCTTTTGGACTTATGTAATTTGTAATGAAATTGATGTAAACGGATGGATTTGTAATGCATTTTAGCGAAGACTTGACTTGTAAGCAAGTAATGCTCTTGTTATGTATTGTAGTTTGAGTTGTTCTTGTTTGTAATCGACTTGTGATCATTATTAGTGTAGCTTCGTTTTCGTATGATCACATGTTATCTTTATACATTTTCTAGAAAGATTTGGCAGGTATACAAACTTTGAAGTCCACTTGAGCAAGAAATGTCCACTCGATCATTATTATTAGTCAGTGTGCTCACATGTTTTTGTTTTCTTGCTTCCACAAATACACGGGACTCTCATAATAATATCATCACATGAGCAAGTCACTGTAATGCTCGTGATCAATTTACCATATATGGAGACTACTTCTCTCATAAAAACTTGCACTTCTTCTCTTCATAACATATTCTCTCTTCTTCAAATTTTCATAACATATTCTCTACTTCATTAATTCTCTTTTACAAATTTTCAATGGCTTCTTCTTCACATTATCACTACCACAAAGATGATGATGATGAATTTGATTCCATATTTGAAGATTTATTTGAAAACACTGATTTTATTCCAGAACCAAAAAAGAGAAAACCACGTATACATATCGAGAGAAAACGGGAAGAAGGCCACACGAAGTTTTGGAATGATTATTTTTATGAAACTCCAACATACCCGCACAACTTATTCCGAAAACAGTTTCGAATGAACAAGAGCTTGTTCTTGCGTATTGTGCATCGTATGTCTACATAAATAGAATACTTTCAAGCAAGAGTGGATGCAACCAGAAGGGATAGTCTATCTCCTCTCCAAAAATTTACCGCAGCAATTAGACAATTGGCGTATGGTGGTGGGTCTGATACAGTTGACGAATATGTCCGACTTGCTGAAACAACAGCTCGAAAGGTTTGCACAATTTTACCGCCGGGAATAATCCAATTGTTTGGCGATGAATACCTAAGACGTCCCGCACCGGAGGATCTGCAAAGACTATTATATATTGGAGAACAACGTGAGTTTCCGGGGATGGTTGGAAGCATCGACTGTATGCATTGGGAGTGGAAGAATTGTCCGACTGCTTGGAAAGGAATGTATTCGTGAGGAACCGATAAACCAACAATTGTCTTAGAGGCCGTAGCTTCATATGACCTCTGGATATGACACACGTTTTTTGGAGCTCCAGGTACTATGAATGACCTTAATATTCTTGATCGATCACCCATTTTTGACGACATTATTAACGCAATTGTGCCAGAAATAAATTTCTATGTTAATGGTAATCAGTACCATTTGGCATATTATCTCACGGATGGTATTTATCCGAAATGAGCGACTTTTATTCAATCTATTCGACTGCCACAAGGTCAGAAGAATTCACTATTTGCTCAAACCCAAGAAGTAGTGCGAAAAGATGTCGAATGTGCCTTTAGAGTCCTGCAAGCTAGATTTGCTGTAGTCTGAAACCCATCTCATTTATGGGATAAAGACAAGATAGCAAATACTATGAGAGCATGTAGCATACTCCATAATATGATTGTCGAAGATGAACGATCATCATCCACTTAGTATGGCGTTGATGAATTTCAAGAAAGAGAAGAGATGGATACATTTTGAATATGCCTTCAAATCTTGGTAATATAATTGATCGTCGAACGAGCGTTCGGAATAGACAAGCCCATCACAATTTAAAATAATGATTTGATCGAGAATATATGGGCTAAATTTGGACATCTTCCAAATAACTTCTAATTTATAAGTTTTTATGAATCGAATAAAATGTTTGTTTGCTTTTATTTACTATGACGTTTGTAATTTTCTTATTTCTATTTTAATGTTAAATTTTTCTTTTATATGTTTTATTTAAAACTTCTATTTTATATATGTCATTAGAAAACAATTAAAATAAATAAATTTAATTATGTAAGGGACAAGATTAAGTCCCACCAATAATCAACTTATTTAGCAAAAGCCCTTAGCTTAGTCCCTAAACATAAAAATAATACTAAAATATGTTAATGGCCCTTATGAGAATCCCATCCATAATATTGTCCTTAGACCATAACTAGGTTTTTAAGGAATGGGTCCCACTATTTTTATAAAAAACGTGTCTTTAGCGTCTTCTATAAAGACTAATTTTAATTTTGATTCTTGCACTATTTGCAGATCTTACTTGGCGATCCACGATTGGTTT